GCATGAATGCTCGGAAGTGTGTAAAAATTCTTAAAAGGCTTCCAGTCCGATGGAAATGGGACAACCTCGTCCCCAGGGCCATATCGGACGACTTCTTTTCAAGATGGCGGTCGTCAGGGAGATGACCCTGGTGGTAGMTGGCGATTTTAGGATAAATCAATAATCGATTATAGACTTAACGRTTATCCGAACTTACCGAGACTGTCGAACACATCCCGACATGTAGACGAACATAARCAGCCAATAAATGAGCGATATAAGGAAGTGCATTTTAACTAGCCTGCAATCAGAAAGCGGTCTAGTTCAGTCACAACCAGGKTCAACTCCCCGACGAAAAAGTTGGTCGAGATGGCCCTGGAGGCGAGGTTGGAAATGAGGCCTGGGCTTWGTAATGGAGCAGATGGAAATAGAATGAATRAGTCTTCCAATTAATGAGGCTTTCAAAACTTATTACAATTATGATTATCAGTGGGCGGGACATAAGTCCTCATAGTAAATGGAGTTGCTGTCTATGGTGACTATATGCGTTTAGAGTAGAGTAAAGTTAAGTTTCTTTGAAGTTAGCGGCGGTCTTGTGTTTGGTTTAACACCTCGTAGGGTAGTGTTCACTACAAAACAAGACCTTTTTCATCAACGCTTGTTTCAACTATTACTCTTATGACGTCAGTGAAAAACAGTCTCTAGAAAGTTTCGCTTTTCGTAGCGCTTTTCATTCGGAGCAAATAATTGCATCTTAAATATTTTATTTCTGCAGTAGACATCACGTGGACTGMATAAATAGATTTTTCAAATGAGCCCTTAATATAAGCTTTCACGGACTGGAAATTAACATTTCCTTCTGTTGTCAAAAAATAGACCCAACCAATTGAGAATGGCGTCTACTCGCAGTCGCTCTCTCAGAAGAAGTAAACGACAACAACAGATCGCCGAGAAGAATGAMGAGGAGACCGTGTATTCCATATTAGTAGACTTCTGTGGTTACACATCATGGGAAGGGTTGTGCCGGCTAGCTGATTCCAAGTACAGAGCATTGAGGATTATCTGGTTATTAGCTTTTATTGGAGCCTTTAGTGCTGGTATATATCAACTTATTGGTTTATTTTTTACGTATAAAAGTCGACCCATTACAACGCATATTTCATTGGAACACGGCGTGGTAAGTGTTTTATCAGTTAATGCTAAAACATTTGATCGCGACTTTTACCTTATTAATTATAGCTTGTCAATRAGGATCAAATGTTGACGGTCTCTCGCTGAATACTCGTGAAATTTCAAGTGCATTTCCCGAACTGAATATATCTCTTGTTTTTGTTATTGATTTTTTTTTTCTCTTTCGGTTAAAACAAGGTAAGAAGGACGAGGCTTTGGCACTCACTTTCTGGCTCTTAATTGCATTTTTTGATAATTCATTATTAACATGCATTTTCATCATCTAAATGCATGTTTTAAATCTCCACATATCAGCTTATCACATTACCCTGTGAATTTAAAATTTGATTCTACTAAGGAAAAAAATATCGCGTGGAAATTATTTTGTTGGATAATAGATAGATAAAGAAAAATATATATACTCCTACTTGCGAAAACGTTGTCATAAAAAATAGGACATTTGTATTTTAGTAAAAAGAAGTAAATTAAAAAGACAAAAGAAGATCACTGAGGCTGAACGCTTTCTTTTGTTTTGTTTTCATTTATTTCTTTTTACTAAATTCGAATGTCCTATTTTCTATGACAACGTTTCTGCAAGTAGKTGTAGTCCACGCACATTGAAAACACTTTATATTAACATTAAAAGTATAATTGACTTGTGTGTTAAAATTACATTTGCTTCAACGTCTACTAAAACAATTATTATCATTTAGCAATGGGGAATCGGAGGAGAAAGAAAGATAAAAATCTAAATAAAAATGGMCTTTCTTTCGTGCACTAATGGTTAAATTATCTTTGTTTAAATGTCTGGTGCAGCAGGTAATGAAACTAAAAAAGCACTTAATTATAATACCTTAAACTGCCTTAAACTGGCAAGAATAATTAGCATAGTACCATAATTTCAGTGAGCCACTTAACATATATGTGTGGTCAATGTAGCTACCTGGTAAYGTCGTTTCAGTTGTCTCGTGAACAAAAATGGAAAAAACTACACATGTAGTTATCCGAGAAAACATTGCCGGAGAGGATGACGATTGGCGATAAACGAACGATGATTGACCGATTTTTGCACAACAGAAAGAAACTTTTCTAGTGATTTGTGTAGTTTAATCAATAAAGTGCCTTTTAAAGTGGTTTTTAATTCCGATAGTTTAATATACAGTTTTGTTACGTCGTAAAACCAGGTCACTTACCAATAAAAACATTTCAGTGCGACAACTATAAGTTTTGAAGGATGCATGATGCGGAACGTCCCTATGAAATAACTATTGTATGTCCTGTTTCCACAATGAAGGCGAGGACGTGCTCCGGCATAATCAAGACAATTCTAGACATAAAAACATTTCAGTGCGACARCTAAGTTTTGAAGGATGCATAATGCGGAACGTCCCTATGAAATAACTATTGTATGTGACAGTACTCCGTGATTTTTTTAATTAGTGATTACTTTCACACCGTAGACGTCTCCTTCCCAGGCAACTCTTTTTTCCTCCTTCGGGCTTCCTTTGTAACGGTCATCTTGGCCGCTAGAGACYAGTGAATCTTGCCTCCCATTCTCCCTCTTTTGACACCGAAAAAAAGCAGGAAGCCCGAGATTCTTTGTGATGACTGCCGGGAAGGCTATTCACACCGGTTAGTGGTCCATAATGCCGAGAGTAGACGATCGATAAATGCAGAGATGACGGTCGTTCMATGTGATTTGGACGCAGCGCCTATACGTAGGTTACGCGGACGATGACAGAGCAGAGTAAATAATAAAATYCAAATAATCCCTCAAAAAATATAGATTATACCCGCCAGAGACCTTTTTCTGCGGTCGTCCAATTGGAATTAGTTATGTGGCCTATAGATGAAATAACCCTTCACGGTTTTGGAAGATCGCAGTAAACAATAGAATTTTTAAAAGAACTTAACGAGGTAGATTTTGTGTTAACTAACATTCAAGCCTAGAGTTTTTTTAAGACCTTTTTTTAAGACCGTTTGCCATCCCTTTAAATTGCAAGTAATGACGTTTTTCTCTTTTATGTCATTTTTTATAGGTGCTGGAGTTTCCGAGYATAACAATATGCAATTACAATATGATTCGTAAGTCAAAGCTGAAAGATCTACCACAACCAATCAGAGAAGAAATTGAGCGTTATGCAAAAAGTATGTAATCCTTACTTTTTGATATTTTTGAAAATTCTTTTTTTCTACAGTATGTCACATATTCGCAATGTAAATTTTGGTAAAAGGGAAATTTCTCAGACATATTGTACTCAAAGCAATCAAAGCAAGCCAATAAGCCAGAAATTATATGTTGCAAGACAGATTTTCTACTAGGACTTCGTTCCATTCATTAAAATGTAGAATTTCACTTATTTTATATAGTTGCACCATATCTTTTCTCGTCTTTTCCTGTTCTTCCTTTGACWGGATTTATAAAACTCTAGACTACTTACGAAAAAAAAACAAGATGGCTGAAAATTTGGCAGTATCTTAAACCGACAAAATAATCAAAAAATACTTCCAAATAAAGCAAAATTACCGTATATAGCTGATATAAACGAATGACACTTTTTTAAGGTCAATTCCTTTATTTGAAATGACCCAAATTCCCAAAATAGATTTTGGGGATTRTCAGAAAGCGCGACTGGACTGCATCTCCCATCATGCACTGCTGCTCACTTATGGACAGCATTTAAACCCAGGCCATTTTATTTGTTTTAGAACGAAATTCATCAATATCAAGTGATTCTGGTGAACAACACTCTTTGGAGTACAATTTACTCCAGAATCCRGAATCAAGCGACGAAGAGTACAGAATATCAGAGCAAGTTGCTGCTCTACTTGCAAAACTAAACGAGTCAGAGCTCAGACCAATTGGTCATCAATTTGATACAATGATCCTTTCATGCAAGTACCAGGGCGTCCATTGCACGTAAGTGAAAGGTTGCTATTTCGTAAAACGATAATATGTCTATTTCAAAAAAAGGCTTTGGACCGAATCTGTAATTCTGCGACCGATAACCTCTTTGGGTATAAAAACGGACAACCTTAATTAACATGACATAATTGCCAATTGTTAACCATATCGTTTTTAGGAACTTAACGAAGAAATCGTTTTGGAGCTCATTTTGGCACTATAAATACGGTAATTGCTTTACATTCAATCCCAAAGTAATCAATGGAGAAGAGCAAAAGGGCTTAACTACAGCAAAAACCGGACCATCAGATGGTATGTATTCAGATTGAAATATGACTTTTTGATCATGTCATGCATTTTGCCTGAAATAGCTATATCTATCATCTTATTTTCACTAGTAGCTTGGAGATATAGATTTCATCTTCTGTTGTTTTCTACGCTCACTTGMCACATATATTTTCAATGCCAACTCCAATTAACACTAACACTGTGTTACAAAAGGCATATTTGATCTGAAGAAATGAATGTATTGCACACATTGAAATGATAGAAATGGAGGTAYTTCTGAAAATCACTAAATCATTATATCTTAGTTAACAAGTTAAGTCACAGCGGCAATCTTAAAGGAACTTTGAGGAACTAACAAAAGTTTTTCATTAGCATATATTGCTCGTTCCTCCAACATGGCCGCCGGTCTCTTATATTTTTAATCTCATGGAAATGGTTTAAAACGACGATCAATACAGTGTTTGTTTTATTAGGTTTGGTGTTAGAAATAGATGTTGAGCAGTATGAATATATCGACCAATTGACACAAGATGCCGGTGCAATAATTCACATATCACCTCGCGGGAATATGCCTTTTCCATTTGAAGAAGGAATACATCTTTCACCTGGATTTTCAACATACTTAGGAATGAGATTGGTAAGGGGTATGTACGGAAATACATCTAAACAAAAAAACTAGTCAAAAACAAGGCATTATGCTAGTAGCCTTTCGTGGCCCACATCCCTACGGGAAGCTGGAGCGTATGTTAACGCAAGATGCAATAGACCTTTTGCTTGAACGGTCACTTGATACTAAATCCGCCATTCTGAATGGCAAAAGCGTATAAAAAAAACTTTCAGAAACAAAAAGGAGCGCAGCACGTTAAGCTTTGCTTTTCTTGTTTTGAGCATCACAGTGAGTATCTTGCCATCCAGCATGGTGGATTTAGTACCATGTGACCGTTCATACAAGAGGCCTACTGCACCAAAAACCAGCAACAACAAACAAAAACAAAACAAAAACATATAGAAAGCCAAAAACAAAGGGAATATGGATTTGGATAAATTATAATTTGTATKAAATTCTTTCTTATATGTATTTTTTAGGTTCAAATCAAAAAAGTTGACAGATTTGGTAATACTTCTTGTGTGTCGATAGACACGAAGAACACAATTTATGCAGATAAGTACAACACGTCATACTCTAAAATGGTACGTTAAGCAAACAGTAGGTCACCATTAATAATGAAATATGCAGGAAAATGTTTCTAGWTTTAGAGATAAAGGAAAGAAGAAGAAAATACACATAGATTTGAACCCTCACACCAAATCCACCATAATGCAATTTGTTTCGCTCGATCTTCTTCTCGTACAATTTGCATCCAATAGGAGACCGATAAATAATCAACAGCATCAGACTGTGTATTTTTTCAGATCTCCCAGCTCAAAACCCCTGATATGCTGTTGATTATTTCCTTAATTATATCCATTTTGAAATCACAAGTGAATCYTGCAATCTGATTGGTTCTTAGCAGGTTGATTTCAGCCTAAATCGCACCATTTTTAATTCTTAATYGCACTCCTTTGAGGAGCCAATCACAATGCAAAACAAGTAAAAGGCAACCAATCACATTACAGGATTGTGTGTGGTTAACCAATCAAACTACAGCAAAAAGGAYACACAAAGAGTACATTTTTAGGTTTTACAGCAAATATTTTTATGAAAATATATGTGCAAATTGGATTATTTTAGTTCTTACTTACAGTTTTAGATGACAATGTACTATCTCAGTGTAATTTTTCATCATTTGCTACTTCTAAATCCTGACGAAAGTGTAATTTACAGTCCAAAAATGTCAGAAATGTTCAACAAGGGATGCAAGTTCATGCAGCTCAGTTTGCAACTGCAACACAAACAATTGAAGCCCGTCTATGAATGAAGATTTCCAGGTCTTATAAATTATGCAGACATCCTTAG